TCTGTCTCAGGCCGGTTGAGATGCGCAGCCGCTAGCATTCCAGGCAAAATGGAATGGACCAAAACTGGTGCATCCACCACACCGAATCACAAGACCCTGGTTTGTCCTTGGGTTGCCGGTTGCTGTAGCCTTCACCCAACACTCCCTCGGGATCGGGATGCTCACTCCTCGTGTCCCCCGGTCCACAGCTTTGGGAAGAGAGCGGGCCTATTCTTGGATGGAGGACAGCTCCCCATTTGGGAAACCCGAAGGACACTATTGCACGAGGACAGGTTGCTCTTAGTTCAGCTCTTGGCAAAGGCTGCAGGAGGTGCTCAAGGCAGGGCAGAAAAATGGCTGCGAGGGGCTTCTCCCCTCGTTTGCCTCGCTGCTCTTTGGCATCCTGGACCGGGTTTTCAGAGGTGTGCTGCCCTGGACCGTCTGTCTAGATGGATCCCTTTAGAGTCACCCCTGGAGGAGGCCCTGGAACGAATGCCACCGAGGGGAGGACCTGGCCCCTTGATGGCGATGCGCAGACGTGAGGTGGGGGGGTCCTTTTTGCCCTCGCAGAAGAGAGGGGGACACCGCGATGAGGCTCCCATCCTCCCAGAAGGGGGCCCCTGCGCCCGTCCCACCGTCCCCCTCCCTACCTGGCTGACCAGGATCTGTCTGGGCCGCCCAAGGGGGCGCATCACCGGTGGAGCCCCCGTCCGCGAAGGGCACGGGGCACGCATCTCCTGCTCCTTGGATCGCCCTTGTCATCCAGATGGGCGCACCTCTCCCCTGCCCTTGCCCGCGATCCGATTCTGGGGAGGGGGTTCTCCGCTGCTTCGCCTTTTTAACCCCTTCCTGCCATGCCTGAAGGGGGGTGGCTTAGGAAAAGGCGCCTTTTCTGCGAAAGGAAGCGGGAAGAGGAGAGAGGGGGAGGGATGGAGAGGACAGGGGAGGGGGCGGGGGACGCGGAGGCCGCCGGCGCTGCCCTCGCCCCCCTTATTTTCCTCCCAAATTGGCCCGCGGTGAGCACCCATCTCTCCCCACCGACTGCCCAAGAGGCTTCCTCCCCACGCACCCCAGCCCCAAATGTGCTGCCCAAAGCTTCGGTCTCCTAAAACCCGGTCAGGCGCGTCCCCCGCTGAACTGCGCGCGGCCCGCGAGCGCGCAAGCCCTCCTCGGATGGGGAGCGCGGATCTGCACCCCTTTCGCTCCCCTTCGGCGCCGGAGCTGTCCGTGCGCGTTCCCGACGCCGAGGAGGACGGGGAACAAGGACGGGGGTGGCGTTGCTTTCGGGGCTGGGGCAGTTACGCAGTGGCGACGGGGGGCCCGGCGTCCCCCCGCGCCGCATCAGTTTCATTTCTGCGCGTTCTTAGGAGAGCTTCATGAGTCGAATGAGTCTCCCTCTTTCCAGGACTCGGAGGATCGGATCGGATCGGAACCGTCTTCCCGCGCGATCCTGAGCTGAGGTGTGCCAGCCCCGTTGCAAGCGCGAGCGGTCCCACGCGTGCCCGTGGCGCCCAGCTGGAGAAAGACCGCCGCTTTGGGGCGTCGGCAGCGGAGAAGCCCCTCTGCGCTCGCACGACCCGCCCGGTCTCGGCCCCGCGCCGCATCCCTGCGCCCTGCGCGCGCGCACCCGCGCGATCCTGCAGGTAACCCCTTTCCGCCGGCCTCATCAGGACAGGTCTTAGGGCTTCGAACACCTCCCCTGTCCAGTCCCTGCGACAACAGAGACTCCCCCCGCCCGGAAAAAGTCCTCCCACCTCTTTTTCCATCTTAAAAGTATTCTATAGATTAGAAAATATTCTGGCACGCATGCGATGGCCCCCACCTCCGTACCTGTCCCTCTGGGGATTTCTTTTAAAACATTTCTCCAGCGGCTGAATTGCTATATATATATACACACATACACACACGAAAGTAATGCTCATATAATACACACGAAAGCAATGATATATATCTATATTAGAATCAATATTTTGTTGCTGCTGTCATTATTTCCCTAGTTATTCTTTGGCTAGGGTGAAAATAATCCACAATATCATCCCCACGATGCACTTAAGACAAGGCAAAGATACCTTTTGGGAACGCCACGCCGACCAAATATTTCTGCGGAACCACTGGCGATATTGCTCTCGGGCGGGCGCGGATCTGTTCGCGATCCTTCGTTCTGGGTGTTTTTGTTTGGGTTCTCCCTTCCCGGGGGCCTGGCGGGTGTTCGGTGTGGTGTTTACTTTCTCCGAGGGGGGGTGCCACTCTCCACCCGACCTCCGCCAGCCCTGACAATAAATGGCGCGTCCAATTAACCCCCCACTGCAGATCGCAGAATCCCATGTTGCAAAATAAATAAATAAGGGGGGGGGGATTCAGCGCCAAAATAACAACGGAGCATCCTCCATCTGTACTGAAAAATCAGATGCAGCTCCGAAACGGAGGCAAGAGGATCAGTGCGAAAACGGGGTCCTTGGAGTATCAGGCACCTTCAGATCGAATTTCAGGACGCCCTCAGGTATAACGGGGCACTTCGCTCGTACGCAAGTGAATCCGAATCGAAATTCTAATGTGATGTAAACAGGTGCGGCGCACGTTCACTCCGGATGCGCGAGCCACCCAGGTGTAAACGGCGCATCCCCTCCTTGCAGCGACTGAGCGAGGCCAGGTAAAGTTCGGCGCTCCGTTCTAAAAACACGATTTAAACCTCGATCGTATTTATTTTAAACACACGCATGCACTCAAATATAAACGCCTCCAGGATGAATTCTCTCCCCTCTTATTATTATGCCGTGCTATTAAGTGGAAAAGTGGAATTGGGGATGGCTTGGATATTTTCTGTGAATTTAAATTCCAGATTGTAGGGCCCCTATTTTGGCTAATGTAGCCAAAGAGGGAGACTCTTTCTCGACAGAGAGAGAAGTCACAGGCTCCCAAACATCATTTAAGAAATTTCTGTACCCATCACTTTGAATGGGATGCACATCAAAGACGGCAACTTCCCTCTTATTTCTGTAGCATTGTTAATAATTGTAAACATTGTTAGTAATTGTAAACATGTGATGTCTGCAGCATGAAATGCGGATGAACCTGCCAACATGAGCCTAATTTTCCACTGGAAAATTGAACAGCCCTTGTAAGACACTCTTAGACTCAAATCTCGCACCATCTCCTAGCTTGGCATATACGCCACTGATTTCTAAACAGACGTTCTTGTACAATTAATTTTCCTGTAATTGGACTCCATGCTTTTCTTCCAGGGTTTGGGTCCTTCATTTAACAATAAAATGCTTCCTATAAATCCAATACAGGATTGCTGACTGGAGAATTCTGGGGATTGCAACAATTACCTAGTACTGAAAAGACAAAAAGTGAGGAATCTTTCTTCAGTAGCCCTGAAATATTGTTCTCATAAAACATGGCCTCTGGCCATATGCAAAGGATCGTTCTCTTATCATTGAGTGATCTCCCATCCTTGAGGAAGGAAACTGCTTCAGGACCAGAAAGGTGTTGATTTCAAGGCACTTTGGAGATTTAAGGTCTCTCATCTTGGAAATGGGGACTGCAATCATCAATTGCTTCACTGGGAGAACGTCCCATTGAACTTAATGGGGCTTACTTCTGAGCTTCCATGCTCCTGGAAATCCCACAGAGCTGGAGGCAAAATCTAGTTACAGGTAAGCCCTTTCTCTGGCTCCATGGGTGCCGGATGGCATCCTTACTGCTGAGAAAACGGGATCGGGACTGAGGTCCCCAAGATCTGGATGGCATCGTATTGTACTGTGAGAAAGAGCAGGCCAGAGGGGGCTCTTCTGTCCTGGGTGATGAAAGGTTGGGGGGAGGCAAGAGCTGGGGGAGGATTGGGCTCATTTGTGCGGATAACTGCGCGGCTTCCGCTGGCGAGGAGCCACAGAGCGCTGCCTGAGGATCGGTCCTGGCCTGCCAACCTGGCCGGCAGGGGTGCGGATGCCTAGGGAGAATCCCATCCCGAATCAGAACAGCCCTCGGCATCACTGTTAGGCGTTAAGCGATGGGACGGCATACAAAAACTCTAAATAAATAAATAAATAAATAAAATATTAGGATGTAAATGCCTTGGGTGGGGTGGTGAGACGGTTGGACTGGAGAGCCAGGAGGTCCGGATCCAAGTCTCCACACGGCCATGAAGCTCCCTGGCTGACTCTGGGCCAGGCAGTCGCAGCATAGCCTACCTCACAGGGTTGTTGTGTGTATAAAATGGAGGAGGGCTACGTGAGCCAGCTTGAGCTCCTCATAGGAGAAAAAAAGGCAGGTTATACATGATTATATAGATTTCTTAATAGATTTCTTTTATATCCTGCCGTTCCCCACTTCATCCTTTTTAAAAAAGAGTATTTTCGTAATTAATGCCATTTGTATTTCTGCCTGTATTTTATTGATGTTCTATTTTTCATATGGTGCAATTGGTTTTTATTGTCTTTTAAATGTGATTGTGACCCGCCCGGAGGCGCTGTGGCACAATTGGGCGGCATACAAATATTTTAAATAAATAGGCAAGATTAAAATAAATGTTAATCTTGCCTATTTATTAACATAAATAATAAATATTTATTTATAGTGAAGGACGGCATATAAATGTTTTAAATAAATAAAATGCAATTGGGGTTCACCCAAACTGGAAAAGAGCAGTATTCATATTAGGGTAGCCCCACGTTTCGGGCCAGCACTGCACCCCGGAGGCCGGGGCTGGCGTGGAGGGATCGTAGCTCGCCCGGGGTCCCCTTAAAAAATGACAATTTTATACGACGATCCCTTTTAAAAGCGACCGCCAGCAAAACCCTCGGGAAAGCCGCCGAACTACATTTCCCGGCGTGCCTATGGGGCGCCGGGCCCCTCTTCCGGCCCAGCAGGCCCGCCCCTTCCGGCCCGTGCTGTGGCGGCGGATTGGCGGGCGCCTCGAGGTGGGCGTGGCCTGGGCGCCGCCGCCGATTGGCGTGGAGCCTCAGGCTGCGGCGGGGCTTGTTCCGCGCGCTCTTTCCCGCCCGAGCGGGCCTACCTCGCAGGGCGGGCGGGCAGCGGCGGCCTTTTCTCCCGGGCGCCCGGGCTTCTTCCCGCCAGAAGCCCCCGGGGACACCGGCTTCCTCTCCTCACGGGGACACGTGGCAATTGCCCGGGGGGTGGCGGTTGGGAGAGCCGCCCGTGCCCCCCAGGGGGCAAACCGCTTCCCCTCCCCCGGCCCGAAGCGGCTTTTCTTCAGACAAAGTCCAGCTGTTTGAGGGGTGGGGTCCCCTATCCCTTCCGTGCACCGTGGGGGGGGGGCGTCCCTCCCCATTAGGCCCAAGGAGGTCCTTCCCCAGGGGAGGGGAGGGGGCTCCCTGCCCGCCTGTCTTCTCCCCCTCTGGCTTCGGGGGTCTCCCCCCAGAGCGCCCTCGCCTCCCCCACTTTGGCTGCAGTAGCTTTTAATTGTTATTGGGGGGGGGGCCCTGTCCTTCTAATGTGTGCACTGGGGCTCCCCTTGGGGAGGGGGCTTGCGTTGCTTCCCCGTTGGGGGCCTTGCCCTATGCTTTTGGCGGGGTCCTCCGGCATGCCCTGGCGCCCTCCCCTGCTTTGGGGGTGAATTTGGCCTTATCACTCGAGAAGCAGTGCCCCCATCTTTGGGGAGCGGGGCTGCAGCTGCTGCGTTGAAATCGGGGTGCTCCTTCCCCAGGGGGTCTGCGTGGAAGAATAGCCCACCCTCCTTTTGGGGGGGGCAGCCTCCCTTTTCTTTCCTGGAGATGCAGTTGCTTGATACAGGGCAGCTGGGGGTGGTGCAGTAGTATTTGCCCTCCACCAGCAAGCACACACCTTTGTTTTTAATGCGTCTGCACCTGTGGGATTTTTCCAGGTCCTGGAAGGCAGCTTCTCCCCCTCTCCTTGCGAGGACACAGGCCTCATTCTGCCCTTTCTGCTTTTTCCTTGGAACAGAACTGCTAAAACCTTCTAGCTTCTATTACTGCATAGAGAAGATCTCCCAGCTTGAGAAACTGGATTTGGCTTTGCTGTTGGACTGGACTCAGGAGCACTTTACCTCTTGCCCCTTCTGCTCTGTCATTTGGACAGGATGAATTTTTCTGAGGTGTTTAAACTGTCCAGCCAGCTGTGCAAGTTCTCCCCGGATGGGAAATTCCTGGTGAGCTCAGCCTGCTGCGTTGTGGGAATGCTAAATTATGGCAAGTTGGGGGAAAGGAATAATGATGGGGAAACAGTGGGGATGTGGATTTGCCAAAGGAATAGGGTGTGAACCATGGGACACTTTGTCCCTGCTGTAGTTGGATCTTACTGATCTCTCTGCGGTGTGCCATTGTTTTGATATGGGTCTAATACATAAGAGAACAATGGGCATTCTCGAAATAGTTTGCCATTACTGATTTATGCTGGACTGTATGAGCAACGTAGTATCTGATTTCAGGCTAGGAGAGGAAACTCAGACAAACAAACTTTCTGCCTGAAGAAGTCATCCTTGTGAGAAGCTTTGCATATATTTCCATTAAATTTTAAACTTGGCGTGGATGATAGAAATTGTGTTGTAAGCATAATCTGCAAAGGATGCGCTTGGCTTAAAATTGGTGTAATTGTAAAGATTGTCCTCCAATGATGCATCCCTCTCCCCCTCCTGTGCATGCTTGCAGTGGTATGTAAATAAGCTTTTTTCTTTCCTTTTACCCTCCTTAACTTCCTCATTTGTGGAAAGCTGTTGTTTGACTGGTGATGATGTGATGATTATCAATAGTTTGGAGCCAGTCTGGTGTAGAGGTGACACCCCGATTTGGTTCTAGTCTCCATCTGACCATGAAACTCTCCAGATGACTTTAACACCAGTAACTGAATCTCAAGTTAACCTACCTCACAGGGTTGTTGTGAGGTTAGAATGGAGAGAAGGACAGCCATGGAAACCATGTTGAGTTGCTAGGAGAAAAACAGCGGGCTATGCATGTAATCATGATATAAGGTAACCCACCAGAAAAGGGAAAATAAGTGCAAGAGGATAGAAGGCAAGAAGGAAGAACACAAACCCAAGGTTTATTTTCGTACTTTTGGTCTAGCGTTAAATCTGGACCGAGTCAGCGCATTGTGAGAGATTTCCTTTGCGGAGGTTGTCAAAGTGCTGCACGGATCCACTTGTGGCACATTAACTCCTTTCATGTGGTCCATAAAAAAATTGCGGAAGAGTAAAAAATATTTGTACTTGGACCTGCTAATGTAAGAAACTTTAGAGGAGCTGCACGGATCACCAAGGTAATAGCATCCATTTTATCAAGAGGGCAAGGCTACAGTTATTAAAATACACTGCTAAGTGCCTTGATTCATAAGACAAGTTCATTAAGTGGTCCATAAGAAAAGAACATTTGAGAACTGCTGCATTAAAGCTTTAGAAGATTAATCCACAGGCCAAGAGTTACGGATATGTTTATTTGTTTATTTGATGTGATTCGGCACTGATGTGTTAGCATAGCAGGGAATGCAGAAGAAAATGGCACCATGGACTTTGCATTTGACAGTGAATGTAAAAACCTCAATTGACCTTTTTCTCAATTTCCTTTGGTACCTTTCATAGGAATATATTGAAATTTGTTCAAATGCTAATTTAATCAGTAGATTGGCAGCCTTAGAAATCATTATCATTCCTAAAGTGTACTGTAAATGTGTATCTTACCAGTCTCAAATCTTACTATCCACTTTTCTAGGTGGATGTTTTCCCCTTCGCTAATTCTAGAGCTTTGACAGATTATATCTAAGGTATATAATGATCTGTGCCCGGAAGGGAAAATGTGTCAGCTAAGCAATTATTCCTTTTGTTCCTCTTCAGGCTTCAGGTGTGCAGTATCGTTTGGTGGTTCGTGATGTGAACACTCTGCAAGTCTTGCAGCTCTTTACCTGCCTGGACCAAATCCAGCACATCGAGTGGTCTTCTGATTCTCTTTTTATTTTATGTGCCATGTACAAACGTGGAATTGTGCAGGTAAAGGCACCCACATGATAAGCTTTTTCTCCTGGAATTTAACAGGCGCTGATTGGTGGTCTTTAATGTAACCGCTACTTAATCATATGACAAACAACTTATGAAAACAGTTGGGCTAGTTGCAAAAACTTCAAAGGTTATAAAGGCATGTATTTGAAAACACAAGCATAAATGACAATTTTGCATCTGTTGGGGGATTGATTTTAAGTTAACAGTATTTTGCTTTGGAAAGCAATTGCGCAGAAGTAATTGGGTTTGCAGTCAGGGCTTTCATGGGGTGGATACCTGGATCTGTCAAGGTGTGAGTTGTAAAGTAACCTTCAAAATAATTTTATGAAAAGGACTAGCTCATTAAAAAACAGAACAAAACAACTGGTTGGCTGATAAAAAAGCAAGCTTACAATTGCTGTTTCTCTGCCTAATTCCCTGGAAGTGATTCATTCTTGCCACAGGCAACCTTGATAAATCAGTGTTCATCAGAGAGTTAAAAAATTTTTGTTCAGGTGACACACAATGCGAATTATTCACAAATGCTTTCACTGATATTCAAGTGCATCACATGTTTAATAGCATCTTTAAAGGATAATAAATGTATTGGGTGCACGGGCTCTTACATGCATCAAAGGCCTGTGAAAGCTAATGCTGCAGTACACGCCTTTAAAAGCGCCACAGAGCACTGCTGTGTTTGCTGAAATGCGTTGATAGTTTAAAAAGGGAAAAAGGCGGCTTACTTCTGCAGTGGGATCCAGCGCCAGTCCTTCATGATCTCCGTGGCTGTCCCCGAGGTCTGTGGATCAACTGGTCCTTCTCAGCGGCAGAGTGATCCTTGGGAGGAAGCTAGTCAGGGCTGGCGTGCCCCTGTTCCATCCGGGTCGGCTTGACTGCTCCTTCTGCCCTGCCTTAGGTCTGGTCCTTGGAGCAACCCGACTGGCACTGCAAGATTGACGAGGGGTCGGCGGGACTGGTGGCCTCTTGTTGGAGCCCAGATGGCCGTCACATTCTCAACACCACGGAGTTCCATGTAAGTGAGAAAGTGGGTCTGCTTCTCCGGGCTATCAAGTGTTGCTGTCGACATCCTAGCCCCTAAAATAGCTCAGAGTTCTTAAAGCTGCAGTGTGCTGTATTTCGGAGGCCTTCCCTTTTTCCTGAAATATAGCTATTTAGTGATGGCCTGCTCCCCATATTTTGGTGCAAGTCCGGGAGCAGCATATTAAAATGTGTGACTGCATTAGTAAGGTTTCATCTATGCAGGGCGGGAGGGGGGGGTGCACAATGCAAATTTGGTCTCAGGACCTTGGATCTTAAGGGATCAGACAAGCCATCAAACCTCCTCTGAGGTTGTGTAGCAGCAAGCCGTAAGTCTCTCCTTTGTATGTAATCTTGGCCACAGATACTGCAAGGTATTGGTGGTACAGAGCTGTCTTTTAATGCTGTAAAGATCACTGACATGGTCCTTACATACGAAAGCAATATGTCGGTGTCGTCATTCTGCATGTATCAAACCTTGGTATTGGGATGCATCACAAGAAGAGAACAGGAGTTAGCACAGGAGGAGGTTGTCTGTCTGGTGGATTGGCTCAAGGTGCCATGATGTGAAGTGCGTGATGAAATCAGCACGCAGGCACCAGAAGACATCGTGCCCGGGTTCGCATCATAAGAAAAGTTTCAGTAGCTTATGCCAGCGGAATCCAGCGTGCTTCCCCAGGGGGGCAGAGGTGGTGCGTCCCAACCACTCTGCTTGTTTGTAGCGTTGTTAAACTCTCTGTGGTGAATTGTGTCATCCAGACCCAGGCCACACACGGAGCCGTCGTGACAAATGACACAGGCAAGATTGGCAGAAAGACTTGCACACGCCCACCTCATCATCATCATCATCAAACCCTTTAGCATGCACACAGCTGGACTTTGAACGCTTGTGAAGGCTGCTGTTGAAAGTGGCTTTTGTGACCCTGCATTGGGGGTGTTTGGGAGGTGCCCCCCCAGCAGGCTGCCCGTGATAATCCTCTAGATGTACTTTTAAAGTTAGTCATACTGTGAGCGCAGCAGCCTGTGCTCAATATCAGAGGTTTTTCTCTCGTTTTTAAAAGACAGTGCTAAAGACATCAGGCACCAAAATGGAATGTCATCGTCCATTGAGTATTATTATTATTATTATTATTTCAAAATGGGTGGGTGTAGAGTGTATCCCTTGCAGCAGAATCTTTGGGGGATCCTGGAGGAGGGTACTCATATGCCCCTGGATTGTCCTTTCTTTCCCAAGTATGGATAACCCAGAGGCACGAGACCCCCTGAAAAAATGTAAGAACTTGTGGAAAAGTTCCTTGTGGGCAACACCCCCCTCCAGTTTCCCCCAACCAAGCAATATGCTTCTGGGGAGGCTGGAGTGGCTGGGAAGCCCCAGCTTCCCACCTGGTTTTGGCATTCACTCAGAGTGTATAACACCTCGGTGCAGGAAGCCCCGGTGTGTGAGGCGGGGGAAGAGTCTGCAGGTTCTAAAGCGAATCTGCAAGGCAGCCCATTCTGTGCAGTTGAAGCAGGAGTTAGGAAACAGAGCTGGCCTAAGAGAACGGCGAAAGCGCTTACTTAATGCTTGAGGTTTAACTAGAGCTTTCGCAACATGCGCGCAGCGCTCCGTATGCATTCTCGCAGCAAGCTCCTGCAGCAAGCTCGCAGCAAGGCCCCATGCAGGTGAATAGGAGGCTTGCCTCCTTCCCACACCTTGCCAGTTCCTGCCCTTCGTTGTCTCTGGCAGGCTGCGCGATAGAAAAGAAGGGCCAGGATTTCACAGCAGTGGGCGGTTTTAATAGGTGAAAACTATTTTAGTTATCTAGCGTCATTTTGTGGGTCAGACACATGCTTAGGAGCCAGGCGGAACGTGGCCTGAGAATTCGGCATGGCGGGCTGCCTCCGCATTCCGCACGCTGCTTCCACAGGCATCTCTCTGTGGGGGTGAGCTGACAAGCATTTATTACCTGCTATCAGAACTCCATTTGACCCTGCAGAATTTTCATTAAGCCCTTGCCAAATTGGCATGTGTGTGGGGGATAGACTTTCTCCCTAGCTGTAAACAGGTTGCTAAATTAACTTGTGGCGGACAGGTGGATGGGACATGCCGGTGTCTTCTAAATCCATCAGCAGCAGGGCAGAAGATGGACTAGTGTTTTGAGAAATCGCTTCAAGCCTTCTCTTGGAGCAATCGCACGGCCTTGGGGGCCCTAGCGTGTGTTGCCTTTCTCCCTTAGGGGTCAGACACAGCTCCGAGCCGGAGAGGGGAAACCCAGACTGGGATCGTTTCCTCCTGCCTCTGCCAGCTGCCACGGAAGGCACTAGCGTGCCTTTCTCACCGAAATTCAGAGTCCGGGCCTCAGGTGAAGATGGAAAGGGAAGGGGGCAGGAAGGGGAGGCTGAGGATCTGCAACATCCAGAAGGTTTCCCAGTTCCTTCTGTCTTTCTGGCTCCACCGTACGCACGCCAGTGAGAAAAGCCCTGGATGTTGAGGACACTCCTTTGGAAAGCACAGAGGTGGTTCTGCCAGAATCATTGCATTAGGCACCTCACCCTGTTTCAGGAATTGTTTGGAGGTTCTCCCAGCAATTGCAACTCAGGTTCAGAAAGCTGGCAGTTTAATGTGTGCTTCATTTATTTGTATCCTGCCTAGAAAGAATCACATTTTATCATAAGGTGACTTAACACAATGGTCAGAGCAATCACATCGGTCCATTTCAGTGCGAAAACACGCTTTTGAGTCTTTGCATTGGTGTGTGAATACCGGATGCTTGTAAATCATGTCTTTAGTTCTGGGATTGTGCTAGACAATGTGCGAAAGAACAGAAACGAGAAAACCGTTCCTCGTGCTTACCATTTCCTGCTGTTCCTCCAAGGACCTTGTTGCACAGGACATTATCGAGCTTTTTGTCTTCGCGCCAACCCTGTCGGGAAGGTTAGGCTTCGGAAGAGGACCTGGCCAGTGGCATCCATTAAGCGCTGAAAGGCTCGCACCCCGCGGTCTCAGTCCAGCACTGTAACCCGGTCCAACATTTGCTCTACCTGGCAGGGATGTTGTGAACTAAGGATCGCACATGGTTTTATTTGCAGAGCGACAATGCTCCGGGGTGGATGGCCGATTGGAGCAACGCCCGCGCGTTCGGTGTGCAGGGGAGCAGCCACCCACACCGAGGGCAGTTTTCCGCCTCTTGGCCAAGGCCGGGTGCCCCGTGGCTGTGCTGCTGGATGACTGTAAATGGTTACATTGGTCGAAAAATGCTTTCTGTCCAGGAATGTGCCTTGTGTAATCCCCCGAAATCCTCTGCTGACAGACGCCGCTATGTCAGGGGGCCTGTTGACCTAGTCGAGTCTGGGACAAAGTTGACAGTCACTTGAGAATGTAGGGTTGCTGAAGCCGGGGTTTTGTGTAACGAAAATCGGGCAGCTTGGCCACCTGCCTCTGGTTGTCAGAGTTTGGGTATCGTTCCTTACCCAGCTCTCCAGACTGTTTATCATATTACTGCCCAAATACTTCTTATTTCTCAGCTGTTTTTGGGCTATTTGAAAAATGCTGTTGCTGAAGTGTCTGATTTACTAGTCGCCCTTCCCCTCACCTCGCTGCAAAACAACAGCTGTATGCTTCTCAAACACCTTTTCCATAGGAAGCTCGTCTGGATTCTTTAATCAAGCCAGTAGCCGACGTCTCACAAAGGGCATCTTGCAGATCAGTAATTAGTTACAGAACAAAGCATGCGGTAGAAATAAATGAAATTTCTCCCAAGGTAGGGATGTAAACAGTGGGACCCAGCGGGGGTCTCTTTTGAGTCCTGTGCTTTTCAACTTATTCATATATGATCCGGACCTAGGAGTGAATAATAAAGCAGACATGCCAGCTGATTTGCCAAATCATTTAATGTGATTAAAAGAAAACGGGATTGCAAGAACCTTCAAAGAGAACGGGCAGCAAAATGGCAGATACGGTTCAGTGAAAGCCAATATAAAATGATGGACATTAGAGCGAAAACAATTTTTGAAAAAATCAATCTCAAGTGCACTGGGATCTGAGTTAGCAGCATGGTATACCATGTAAAGCATAATTCGTAAAGGAATTGAAAATAAAATGGCTGATATCATATTGCCCTTATATGCATTTATGGTGTGCGTACAATTCTGGTCACCACATTTATAAAAGGCCGATGTAGAGCTGGAAGAAGAACAGAAGAGGGCAACTAAATTCTCCAAGTAGCTGGAGCAGCTCTTCTGGGAGGAAATGTTACAGTATCTAGGATTGTTTAGCTTAGGCAAAATGTGATACAGGTGTAGAAAACTCTGTATGATGTAGGGAAAGTTGATAGGGCGATCTTTCTCATCATACTAGAACTCGAGGTCATCCCATGAAGCAGATTGGTGGGGGATTCAAGACAACTGAAAGGAAGTTTTTCACGAAGTGGATACGCTATGGAATTCACTTTCTGTGCTGACTTGGAGTGTAAATACTTTCAGAATGACTTCAAACAATGAAAAATACTGTACAGGACATAAAATAAAAACCAAGTGCAGCAGAGTAAAGTGGCATTAAAACAGTGTGGTAAAACTGGGGAGTCCTGGGTAAATAGAAGCACTTGGCCTAATGTTGGGATGACATAAAAGTAGGCACCAAAGAGGCGCTTGGGAGATCACAAGTGCTACCACCAAGAAGGTGCTGGGTTGATCACTGTCACATTTTTAATGGTGGGAGCAGCTGGAATAGGGTCTCCGTATCTTTTTGTCTTTATATTGTGGGCTCCCAAACGGCCCCTAGGGCCAAATTCCCATGGAGTAAAAAGATCCTGACATCTAGAATGAAAGGGGTGGCGTTCTGGGAGCGATTCCACCTCCGATGCCCTAGCTTCCCAAAATGGCTTGGGAGGGGGTGCCACACTTCTCTTGATGTTTCTCCGAACGCGCTTTTAGAAGGCAGGGAGGCTGAAGAGGCCTATTTCTTTTCTAATGTTTCCTTTGAGTTAATCTTCCATGTACAGATTGATTCTTGCAAGACCAGAGAGCAGCCGTTCAAAAATCTTTGTGTGTTGTGTGGGGAGGCGAGCGAGTGTTCATTTAGAAACAGGACGGGAAGGCATGGTTTGAATGTTTGGGCGGCATCAGTGAAGATGTGTGAGCCTTTTTCTTTTACGCTGGGGTTCCAAGCTTGCGTCCTTTGAAAAATAAGCATTTCTGCTGCTTTCGGGTTGCCCTGGAAGCGCTAAATCACGGTCGGGCGAGTGGGGAGGGCTGCTTGCGCATCACAGTTCGCACGGCAGAAGAGACGCGTCAGGGCCTGAAGCGCCCGGTTGGATCCCTGCAATGTTAGCACTCGAAAGCACATCCTGCTGGGCTTTCCATAAGAATTCCCTCTTACCTCTTGTCTGTAAATTCAAAGAAATGCTTCCTGTCTCTTTTTCTGTTTCCAACAGCTGCGGATAACAGTCTGGTCCTTGTGTACAAAATCTGTCTCTTATATCAAGTATCCCAAAGCCTCTCAGCAGGGTAAGTGGAGCTAATCTAATAAAGGAAGGTTCTTTTTAAAAAAATGTGGTGAAGGTTGCCATGCCCTGGGTACACCGAAATCCCTTCTGACACAGTGCGGCCTGTAGGAGAGATGCTGCTGTGACCTGCTCGTTTGCCCTGCTGGATGCAGGAGAGAAAAGAAGCCGTCCCGTTCTTTAGGAACTCTTGCTTTTGCCGCTTCAGGCATTTTTCAGCCCGGTGATTTTGAGGACAGAAATGTGGTGGTGACAATCCGTTTCTCATTTGTTTCGTCCTTATTTGTAGCTGCTTGAAAAATGGGTTGGATCTTTCACTCCTTTGCAATCAATAGCTTACAGAAAGAAAGAAAGGTTTTGAGAGGTCGGCTTTTCCATCCCCCACACCATTGAAAAGATTACGCCAGAATTTGAATTAAAATTCCGTGCATTAGGGTGGCTTTCCAGGAAGCATTTCTTTCTGCCTCTTGCAAGGTGAGCACAGCTGGGAATCCAGTGGCCTCGATCTTGATTCTGTTTTCTTTTCCCACATACAGCCACATAGACTGGCTTAACCTTGTCTGTACTAGAGTTACAATGGTAGCATTTACGGGCCCTGAAGAATTGAGCAAACCGTACAGTGTGTACATTATGCAAGACCTCTCAAGATAACAGGAGCCAAGCCGTAACAATTACGCCACGAATCGCTCCCCATAAGCAGCATCTCAGCAGCCCAGAGTTTTTGTTTTCCTTGTTGGGTTTACCTTTTCATTGCTTTCTCTTCCATGAACATGACACTCATCATTCCACTTTCCCTCTCTCAAACACAGCCTTTTTTTTGGTTGTTCTTCTTGGCAGGCATAGCATTCACAAAGGATGGCCGCTACATGGCCTTGGCAGAGAGGAGAGACTGCAAGGACTACATCAGCTTATTTGTGTGCAGTGACTGGCAGCTGCTCAGGGTAAAAACCCTTTCCCCTGGGCCCCAATGCCCGCAACTTTTATCCTCGAAGAGCCAGATGTAGTGGACTGAGGAGTGGCCGGTTATGGCCTCTTCTTCCCGTTCAGCCCGTCTCCTTCGGTTTGCAGATACCCCTTGTTAGCTTCAACCATGATGAAGGCTGAGCTAATCATTTGCTGATCTGTTTCAGAGTCTGATTCATTACTTACACGTACCTCATTCCTTTCTCTATTTTGCAAGCATTTTGAGACTGAAACTCAGGACATTGCTGGGATCGAATGGGCCCCTAATGGCTGTGTGTTGGCGGTGTGGGACACTTGCCTCGAGGTAGGGGAAACTTCGGATGCATCAGGGCATTTCTGCAAACTGGGTGCAGCTTTTAACAGCAGCGGCGTGCAGTTGCATGTAAACACGGGATTTTATCGCAGCGGTGTCTCGGCAGTTTTTGTGCCAGTTCATCGATCGTATGCATTCTGTTTCTCGAATCTCACCTTGAAGACCCATAAAAAACAAATGCTCGTAGAGAAGACCAACCTTTTGATGCTTATTGTTATAATTCGGGGGTGTGTGTGCGCACAGCGGGCGTCCTTCCCCAAGCCCTTGATAGGACATGCTTACCATATGCCAGTTTTCAAGTTTCTAAGATGCAGACTTTTTCTTGCAGTATAAAGTTTTACTGTACTCCCTTGATGGCCGCCTGCTTTCCACGTACCATGCTTATGAGTGGTCGCTGGGCATCAAATCCTTGGCCTGGAGCGCCAGCAGTCAGTTCTTGGCCATTGGCAGCTACGATGAAAAGGTGAATCTGTTCAGCCCTGCAAAAGAGTCTGTGTCACAGGATGGCATGACTTAGTCCTGGCTGGTCCCTCTCTTTTTGTTCTGTTGAAGCAGGTGCGCATTCTGAACCACGTGACGTGGAAGAAAATCGCGGAGTTCGATCATCCTGTAAACATTGTTAGCCCAAAGATAGTAAGTGGAGAAAGGGGCTCTGCCCGTGGTAAGAACGGAATCTATGGCGGGCGTGTCGTGAGCGGAGCTGGCTGGAACCGGGGTCAGACTAGATGGTCCCGGAGACCCCTTCTGGCTCGCTCTGTGTCTGTGTTTCTACCATCTAGTATTTGTGTTGCTCTTTAAAGTAATCTTGGTGCCTCCTACAGCAGCTCTTTAAGAGAGGTCGGTATTACAGTTGGGCGCTGGGGAGGCAGAACGGTGTGAGCCTGAGAGCTTTGCCTGTGCTCATTACAACTGGTCTGTACCTGAGGCAGGATTTGAATCAGGGGCTTTGTGGTTGCTGTACAGTCATTCAGTCGCTGATTTGGGGGCCTAAATCAGCTCATTACTGGTTGGTGTTAACTTTTTTGGTGGTGCTGGTGTATAACTGGCCTGGGGTTAGTGGGATGGCTTGTGTGGGATGCTGGAGGCAGGGTGGGGGTCCTCATGGCCCTCTCCCCAGCCTGCCTCCCACCCTCCCAGAACTCAGTTTGTGAAACAGTGACACCCGGTGCCCCATGCACAACCGTGCAGGAAGGCGGGGCCAGATCGAAAGTGAGCCAGGCCAGTGGTGGAATGCTCTTCTCACACATCTCTGTACACACAGTGCACGCATGCATTCCCCACTGCCTGCCTTGGTTCGGTGTGAAAAAGCCCTTTCTTGGCGCCCAGAGGAACAGAACTGCAGCATGGGGAGGAACAGGCTGGTGGCTAATTCCAAAGGCACTGCGGGCCAGTTACGGCCCGGAATACACTCTTCCCCACCCTGCTTCTAATCTTCCCAAAAATGTAAAACGCAGATGTCATTCTGCAGATTTAAATGCAGAGGTTTTTTTTTTTCCTTTTTAAAGAACCCCATCTGAATGGAAAGGTCCTGTTTTCTATTGCAACTTTCTATTGAGAAACTTCCCCCTAAAGCGCCCCCTCATCTAATTCCCCAGCCTGTTTACTCCAAGCTTCTGTTTTCATTGGATTGCAACCCTCTTGCTTGAATCCCTACCACCCTGCAGCCATTCCCTCCCCGTTGCAGCCCCCACAGCGAATGATCTAGTAATGCATCTTTGGCGAAATGTGGCAGGGCTGACTTGACGTTCCTTTCCAGATCGTTTATAAGGAAGTGGAGAAAGCCCCGACAGTGGAAATGGAGAAACTGGCCTTCCCCCCTACCAAGAAAATGGCACGCTCTCTCTTCAGCACAAATAGCAAATGTAAGCAACAGCAGCCCCCTGCCACTGTGTGTGTGTGAGTGTGTGTGCATTTTCAGAGTCTAGAAGACAAGGACTTAGGTGGGCCAAATCTCCAGAACTTTCCAGAACCAAAGAGAAAATACAGTCTGAAAACCCAGCATTTTCCCCATAGGGTGGAAAACTAATTGCCAGGTTACTGGGCATTAATAGAGAGGATTTGCTGTTACAATTAAATTTGCTTTACAGTTAAAGATGCCGTAATGATCTTTGTTTTGTACAGCAACTACTTCCCTTTTTATCTGAAGAACGTGCGACGCCTCTCATTTATACAGAGGGTAACAATCCAACTGTGGGAAACCCAGTCTTTATCCTACAGACCCTTTATCAACACAGGCAGAATTGTTCATTTTATTTATTTATTTATTTATTTATTTATTTATTTATTTATTTATTTATTTTTACCCCTTTCAATACCCCGTGGGTCTCTGGATGGCCCATTTCCCTCCACCCTCCTTTGCCAAAACACTGGTTGAATCACTAATGGGCCAAGCGGTTGTTGACACAGTGCAAAGGTTCTTTGACCCATGATATCTGCAGATTTCTAACCCAGTTAACTTTTCTGAGGAAGTCCAGTGTGGGTCTTGCTCCGGTTGTTGCGTTGTGGCCTACAGGAGACAGAAAGACTGCCTGCCTGTGGCTTTTGAGATCATGGAACATGCTGTCTGGGTCACACAACTGCAGGAGCCGACAGACACGGCCTGCTGTTAACTGGCTTGGAGGGGGACTGGGACGGCGCCTGTCCTGTCCTCTTTTCAGCCTCAGAACATGAGGAAATGGCCCCACATCATAAGCAACGCGAGAGCTGGGTCTCGGTAGATCCCTCTAACTTGTTTTTTTGGGACCGAACCTTTTAAAGGAATAGGGTATCCAGTTCCCATTATAGCGTAGAACTGCTGTTTTCTTATGGATCCAGAAAACAGATCATGTCTCTCTCCAGCCCTTTTATTTCTGTTTTGATTTCAGATGAAATTGCCCAAGTCCCATTCTCTTTGCATCATGCCAAGCCCACAATCGATCAGGCCAATCCCCGAATCGGAGTAGGAATATTGGCTTTCAGCTCAGATAACTGTTACCTAGCAACCAGAAACGGTTAGTATATCTGTGCTTGCTTGAGACTGTGTCGCCCCCACGGAGTGGGCACGTGGCACATGTGACTCTCAGTCTCCCGCACGAACTTCGTGCCCGTCTCTAAAATGAGTGTCGGTGTGTCCCATCCCACGTGGGTGCGCCTTTGTGGAAGGAGTCTTGAAGCGAAGCGTTTTTGTTTTGTTTTAATGAAAGCTGATTGAATACCATGCTGCTATGTTAAAATGCGTGTGTGGTGGGGTGCAAAGATCCTTCAGCTATTGAGTATGCAGAATTGTCATGATCACAGCGAGGAAGAGTTTTTCCTTAAGGTTGTGTGTTTATCTTGACTTGTTTATGATATAAACATCTGGACTTAGCTGGGAATAATAAACCCATGTAGATTAGCATGCTTTAAGGCATATTGGAGGATTTCAGAGAAGCGAAGTGTACTTTGACGAGTCCTCTTTTCTAGCACTGATAAAGCATGGAAGTGAAAGATTGTCGTTCCCTTCGTATGTGTTGGTGCAACTCCAGTTTCCACACTGCTCTTATCTCTGGAGGAAACTGCCTGTAGGACAAGTGAAGTTACCTGCTCGCTTGCTCACTCACTCACTCTCTCCTCTGTGTGCGTGCGTGCGCACACTTCTATTTGTTAAGGAACTTTCACCCTGTTTTTGAAGCAAAACCTTAGTAAATGGGTTGAAAGGCAATTTCAAATAGTGATTCATTATAGCAAACTAGAACAATGTTTGCTCTTGTCTCCAGGGTTTAGTTTAACTTACATTTCAGGCATTTCAGTGGGCCTGCTTGAAGATTTGCTATAACCCTGAAAGTCCAGTAAAACAAGGCAGTGAAATGTCTTTGCCAAACAACATGTTCAGAGCATATGTGAAGAAACAGGTGGGAGGAGACCCAGTGAATTTCCTTGGAGAGCGAGTCTCAAAGTCTCAGCTCCTCTACTGAAAAGATTGACTTTAGTCCCTTTAAATCTGCAAAACAGATACTAGCAATTCATTAAATGAGAGCAGGCCTCTGATACCTGTCCAAGACTCAGGCAGCCTTGTGTGGGTGTAGGTGGTGCTGAAGATAACGTGGACCCAAATGGTTTACCGAAGATCATTTGTAGAGCAGCAAAGTGAACCCAGAAATGGATTGGGTTGAAAGCAAGGACAGTGTATGTGTGTCGTCCCCCTCCCTCCTTGTGGGACTCTGGGACTGCGTTCTAAGCGACCTGCAGTTCCTGATCTATCTTTAAAGGCAGCTCCATTGCAACGTATTTTAGTAATCTAATTTAGTTGTAACATCTTGATGGAAGCCTGAAGTCACGCATGTTTTCTCCGGATAAGTCACAGTCGGTGACTCAGCCAAAGCTGGTAAAAGACACTCCTGGTTATGGATTCTGCTTGCACATCCCCATAACACCAGGTCCTGGAGGAACCTCAAACAGTGTACTCATCTCTTCATGTGTGTACAGCTCTGCCGAAAAATGCGTCTGATTCAGCTAAATATCATCTCTGGATGTTTCGGTTTGTGTGCAGTGGTTCTCGGCTGCTGATGGCTCAGGTTTGTCTTTCTGACCGCCTGCGAGGTGCAGACTGGACATTCCTACTAACGCCCTTTTGTCCCTTGGTGCTTGCTTCCGATAGATAACATTCCTAATGCCGTCTGGATCTGGGATGTTCAGAAGATGAAGCTCTTTGTGGTCTTGGAGCAGCTGTGTCCCGTGCAGCTGTTCCAGTGGGATCCCTGTCGGTCCCGGCTTGCCATATGTACCGGGAACAGTAGAGCGTACCTGTGGTCACCGGCGGGGTGCGTGTCCGTCCAGGTCCCAGCGGAAGGTAAGGAAGCGCTTGCCCCCGCGAAGGCAGGTGTGCTGGAAGTTCATGCGGCCGTCCTTCGCTCGCGTTGAAGAGATGGCGATGTCAGTTGTTCCGTTCCAGAAGTCGCCGTGTCATGTCACCCTCTGGGTGCGTGTCTGGGCTTTGCATGGCACGGATGCCTCTAAGGGTGTTCAAAGGTCTGAAGAGTGCATGCAAGGGCGTGCGGGGCGGGATGGGCGTGCCTGCCCCCAGCCCCTTCTTAATGGTGCATGTATTCAGGCAGAGGTCTGAATAAGGCTTATGTCGAGAAACGTACACATCATGATTGTGTTGCCATCTTCAGCCTGGCAGTCCGGATTCTGTATTGTGTGTTAGAGAATGCTGTGTGCCCTTTAGCTGATGAGGGGAAGCACTCACTATAATTCCTGAAAAGACCTTGCTGCATTATCTTAATAGCTCTTCCACTTAAGAAGTTCAGATTGTTGTTGTTGTTAGTCGCAAAGTCGTGTCCGACCCATCGCAACCCCATGGACAACACTCCTCCAGGCCTTCCTGTCCTCTACCATCCCCCGGAGTCCACTCAGGCTCACACCAACTGCTTCAGTGACTCCATCAAGCCATCTCATTCTCTGCTGTCCCCTTCTTTTGCCATCTATTGTTCCCAGCATTGGGCTCTTCTCCAGGGAGTCCTTCCTTCTCATTAGGTGGCCGAAGTATTTGAGTTTCACTTTCAGTACCTGGCCTTCTGAAGAAGTTCAGGAGTGGGTATCAATACTTAGGTAGTCTAAATGGCACCATAGTTTGGGAGGAAATGTTTTTTCAGTAAACTTCCTTTGATTTTGCGTGTAGGTGATTTCCAGGTGACGTCTCTACGCTGGCACCCCAGTGGAGATTCTCTGACACTGATGAGCAAGGACAATTTCTGTCTATGTTACTTAGAAAGAGAAGAGGAAGACGTGAAATAGGGATGCCCAAAAGTACAACCAAATGAAAATGGAAGGCTGGGGTTTTTTTTTCAGTATTGGCTCGTCAGAACCTTGACATCCTCCCAAAGCAAACGTTGCTTCCGGGCTTGTGGGGGAATGTTCCGCTTTTCATTGTATTTTCAGTCTGTATATAGCTGTGCAGGTACTGGTACAGAGTGGCTGCTTTTAAACAAAGTACGTAAGCAATAGAAGATGAAATTCAATAGCAGGAGCAGGTGTTCCGTTTAAGTCTGTTTTGTATAGAATGTAAATTGTATAGTGTGCCAACTGCTTTGTTTTGAAATTTCAATAAATATTTTGTTACATACAGCATCGTTAAAATAAGATTACTTTAGTTCTCGAAGCCCAAGCGCCACTTCCAGCTACTCTTCTTCCTTTCCAAGCGTGAGCTGTTGATGCTGTGGCCTGTGAAGAAAACAACACTGAAGGGACTGGAGAATAGGATCATTTTGCTTCGCAGGCTAGATACACCTCCTGCCGTTCCCGATCGTAAAGTAGCTGCATTGACCTTTGGCTGAGCAAGACTGCGCGGAAAGGTGTCTGGAGGAGCATGGGAAGGAGGTTGCATGCTTTTTCCCCACAGTGGCTCATCTCAGATTGCAAGCTAGGCACGTCTGTCTTTATCGTGACAAGCTGGTCACCCCTTCCTCCTTTCTCTGGCTTGGACGTGACTATACTGTGCTTAAGCTGCGGCTTTCTACTAAAGCTTCAAGAGGAGCCAGGCCACTGCCTCACGATCATTCGCCAGTAGCCATGATAGATGTGCACACAGGACCCTTCCTCTTCTCACTAGAAGGCACGAACCAAGCGCAAGAAGCAACGCCATCTCCATTCAGCGAAAAGCACAGACTTCGTGGTGCCGGCAAATCTTTGGGGGAGCTCAGACTTTCTTGTCTGAGAACTCCTCCTGAGCTGGATGACCCTCAAGACCAGCGAACTGGCTTCTTTTGCATCAAGACAGCATGGCTAGCAGTGCGTCTGGCAGGAGAACGGGGCCCCACACCTGCAGTCTCCCCATGTACTTGTGAGAGGAAGGCGAGCTCAAGAAGCTGAACCTACAGTGAGAACAGCACAGCGGTCCAGGGGAGGGACCATCCGGCGGAGAGATGAGAAAAGGACAGGGATGCTGCGAAACGGGAGCCTTTCGACAGTTCACAGAGCTGCGTGCTCCAAAAAGCCCCCTGCGCTTGCTGCTTCGCACCCCATTTAATCCCTCCGTGCCGTTCGCCAAAAAGAATACAGCTTAAGATTCCCATTTACCAAGTTTATTAAGCTTAAATATACATCCCTCGAACCAAAAAAAAGGACATGCACTCAGTTTCATTCTAGCACCATCCCATTCTGACAAAATTTCAGAAAGAGAACACACCATTCGGCAAATAAACACTATAAAATATCTGATTACCAGTATTCATGAATATAGAGACAGTAAGGTGACAGCTTGATAGGAGCTTGTAGAAAGGGTTAACTGGTAAAGGAGACATTTGCTAGGATCCAGAGCAGCTCATGCACACATGCTAAAAGGTGGGGTCAGTTGCTCTTTCTCCTGGCAACAGCCCCTCTCTGCGGAAGGACTGTTGAAATTGCCAAGCACCAGCTCCACACGGCCCTTTGGATCCTGGCCACGGAATCCCAGCAATAGGGCAATGCTACTTTTTCCCATATTCCATTTTAATACAGAGGCTCGAACAATCTCAGTTAAAATTTAACTGCTGTCTCTCTCTTGCCCATCTATTTATTCAGATGTCCTGCTGCTGTTTTAGACATCTGGTTTAGATTTTTAAAAAGTATAAAGCTAACCAAAAAAATCCCCCTTTTCCATAAATACAAAGCCTTGATCCCACATAGCAGAAATCCACGACACCTGCATGTGTGTTTGCGGTGTGGCATTCTGGGAGTTCTACCGCAACAAGAAACCTTCAGTGCCTGAGGTGTATTAAGGTCCTTCAAAGACAATCGCTCGACCCCTTTGAAAGGCAAATGTACAGTTTTCAAAGATAAGCAGAAAGGAACTCTCAATTCAATATGAAATTAGTCATACTGGTTAAATAGCTCACACAACCAGCCAAATGGACAGGTTATCCCTTAAGTCACATGAGAGCATTTATTAATACATTACAGAACTCCAGACATACATGTGGCTTGTAGTGCCTATGTGGTTTACATGAGGGAAAAACATGGAACATGCTTTGACACATACTGGTGTCTTCCTTGGGACACACTGGGGGAGGGAAGGAGCTTCAGCTTGGATATGGTCGATGGATCATGTAAGGCCACCTCAAGTGTTGACTCAAGAGAAGAACCCCACATTTCTCTCTCTCTCCCACGGATTTGCCAGGCAACGATTTTCCCGCTGCTCGTTCCTCTGTGGAAGTAGATTCCCTTTGGAAGCTGTCCTTAAAAGCCAATCTTGCCTCTTGTCATGGAATAGCCCAACTTGGCCTCATTGTTGATGAAAGACATCAGTCCCACGTAGGTCTCGATGAGAAGGGGGCGCTCCAGGAGTAGGACTCCATTCGCGCCCCCGGGCAGCGGGCACTCCTTGTGGGCCTTCTTCACCGCTTGAATCAGTTGTGTTTTGAAGTTCTCCAGCTTAAATATACAAATGTATTCCTGTTAGCATTCCTGAAGTCAGGTGGTAAACCGACATCTTTGCTGCCGTTTCTGAATCATTCTGATTTTTTAAAAAGCTCAACTGCAAATGTTTGGCCTAGAGCAAGTACAGTCAATAGCACATGTTCCTTGAAATGAGAAGATGGGATTAATTCTGGTTCTGTACTGAGCTTGTTCTCAAGCTAAATGTGTTCATCTGGAGTCTCTACAGCATCTTGCTGCTGAAATTTGGCAGCCAACCACGATTTGAAGACGCACGTGCAGCCCACCTTTGCTTTCACATAACTCGGGGGCTTTTGGACCAGACTTCTGCTTCCTCCCTGCCACATATGACCACCGGGTCTTGAAGCAGGGAAGATCGTGACCAGAAGTCTGTGGCTGGCACATCTGTCAGTGGCCAGTCCACTAGCGAGCTCCAAACCCTTAGCTATATTTGCAATAGCTGTTTCAGAGCAACTCATTTATGTGAAGGACCTGTGAGATTTCAGTGAGCACCCACTTGTCTATTCCTGACTCTGTCGTTATTCTTGGAATGCCAGAAATCATGGACTTCTGCTTAGGTCGGGCTGTGTGGATTTGGTGCTAAGGAAATGCAAAGGGGAAGCATTCATGGGGAAAATGTGAAGGTTCTTAAAGTAAGCCCCTGCCCCATTTGAGGATTCCTAGCCAGAAGTGGCACTAGTCCACCCTACATACACACACCTGAATTCTTCAGTAACTTCACAGCTCTACACTGACCTTCCTACGGAAAGGTAGACATTAACTTGATCTCATCCCAAACCATCCAGCGAACCCATATTGGAGAACCTGTGTCTTACTTGGCAAAGAGAGGCGACCTTCTCATCTGCATCAGCCATTGGATGTTCTGTGAAGGTAGCATATGGCACATTTGTGGACCATGGATTCCATCTGTTAATGAAGGAGGCTCGGCTCTGTTTATCCCACTGAATTCTAATTCCTACACCTTCACGCCTGAAAAATGGAGCGGTGGCACACAGGCTTAAGCTCTGTTAATTTAGCATTCCAATTTCACAGCTCTCAACACTCAAGTGGCATTATCACAAATCTCTCCCCTCCAGATGTGAAAATGACAGACATACATATGGAATTTCCCATTCAGTACAAGTGAGAGGCTTAAATGGGAAGCTAGAAACTAATAGGAAAAGACAGAGAGCTGAAATTCACATACATCACAGCTTTTTACTGAGCATTCACTAGAAATCAGGAACTGTTCTAGCTCACTATTAAGGATTGCAAACATTCTTTTGTCTTGTAGTGGTATTCACAAGATGGCAAAAACAAAAAAGCCACACAGGCACACAACTCACTTGTTCAGTGATTTAGGAGGAAATTCAAATTCTCCAACTGAAATCGTGTCAACAGCGTTAAGCGATATTCTGGTTACTTGTTGGCACTGCAGGCTGATGAAGTCGTATTTACAGATCAACAGGGACCAATCGGTAATAAGAACCAGGCGCTCCTTCTCGTTGTTCCAGTGGTCAATTCTGGAGAGAGAACAAAGATGCCAGCATGGGGTTTCCTCCCCGTTCCATCCCTCAAACTGGTCACGGCAGGTAAACCGATTTGAGATCAGGACTGCTTGCTTCAAAGCAATTCTGCTGTTTTAAAAACACAGAAATGAGAATCAACCTGCATGCTTGTTCTAGTTTTAGATGACCACTCCGCCTTTTTGGCATCTCGTCAGCAGTTAAATAGGCATTCAGCCGTTTGCGGAATGGTTTGTTGCAATGCACGGTTGTAGAATAGTCTTGGAGAACAGAGTTTTTAAAAGCTTAGTATTTCTGTTGCTCACCCATGCAAACGTCCTATGCCGTTTCAGAAGCACGTGAAGTCTGGCATCACCAGAAGCTCAGCGCTCACCAGCATTCTGAATAAAAAGCAAGGCTGGGAAGTGAGAGCTGATTTCAGGTATCTACCAGATAACGAGATTATTTTGTAGGAAGTTTCACAAGGCAGCAGAGATCTTCAGAGCCCGGCTGCCTCAAAACACGCCAGTCGGGTTCCTCCTCCGCGCATTCAACCAAAGCACGGTGTTCAAGAGGCAACTTCTCCCGTGCTACTTCTGACAGTGCCGGGGTCGGGCTTTGATCAGCTTCCTCTTTTTAAAGAGGCTGCGACAGAAGAATTCTACTAGGATAGGTTGAATCACTTCAAGAAAGAGCAATACACCTTTGCCCTTCAGATGTTAAAGGAACAGTTTAAGCGTGGGGACCCATGCTTTGTTGGAAAGGAGAGGGAACAAAAACCACGCACATCTTCCGGTCACATCGGTTACTCACTCAGTCAGCAGCCACACGCTTTGCACCTCCCCATCTTCGGTGGGCATTACCACCACGCGTATCTCGTTTACAGCCTGCTCTATCGTTCCTGGCTAAATTAAAATGAAAACATTTAGTTTTCTCCCTGCCCATTTGCAGAGTCTCCCGACAGTGTAAAGAGGAGTTAGGGAACCTCAAGGCTGTCACAAAGGGGAAAGTCAAGATCTCTTCTCACTCATCCCAGGGTGTAAACGTGGAATAATCAACTCAAGTTGCGACAACCCAGGTCCAGACTAGATACCAGAAGTTTCCTCACTGCTGGAGCAATATGCCAGTGGAACCAGTTGCTTAGAGAGCTTGTGGGCTCTCCCACACTAGAGACATCCAAAAAGAAACTGGACAGGCATCTGAGTGG